CTTTTTTACTGTACCAATGTGACCTAGTAATGATAACGATGGCACTTCAAACCCTTGTGATTATGGATGACCCAAAGGGCATGTGGTCTCCACCGTGAGTGGACTTTAAGTACAAACTGGATGCTCTTTCTGACGACGCCAAAAGTTTACATTTGACGGCATATGTCACTCCAAAATCCCAACAAACATGAATGGATTTGGAGGATTTGTGGTTAGATGTAATTCTAGCGTGGCTTAGCCCCGGAGTGTCACTTGCACATTCAGCTCTGAGTTGAATTTGCTGATCACTTTATTCAACAGACTACTATCGGAACGGCAAGAATTTCTTGTGGCAGTGCTAGCAATCGAGGTGGCCGCTGGGTGACAGAGAGGACGACGCGAATGCAAACCCTCGCACTCATCCGCGTAGCCATTGCTGGGAACAATTCACCCAGCACAGGGAGAGATCCCGCAAAAAGCACCATGCAGCAGCAAATAGCCGCCTAAGTGCCTTCGAGCAGCACAAGGCGTTGATAGCATCTGACTCTCACATTTTCTGCAAATGATGCCCCTTACGTCGCCAACGTCCTCACCTTCCACCCTTCCTCATTCCTGCCCTCCTCTCCTCCCCTTTCTCCCACACACCTGTTGGGGGTGCGCGAGTGTGTGTGTGTGTGCACATATAGCTCTTCCTAAAACGCGTTTGTTTGCCCAGGGAATTAGGCGCGTTCTCCTAGTTGAAGAGAGAGGAGGAAGGGGTGGAGGGAGGGGAGGAGGAGGAGGAGGACGAGGAGGCAGCAAGGTCATAATCTTGATTGCTTTCTTTCCCCGAATCTGTGCAATTAGCCATACCCTACGGGGCATCACTGGCGCCAGAGCTTGCCTACTACCTGTGAGAAAGTAATTGCTGGCCGAATAATGTCCCAGCACACCAACTACGTGAGGCTGGGGAGGGGGCCAGTGGGCCATTTATGCTTATTGTATGCGCCCTCTGTGACAGTGGACCTCGGGAGATGGTGCATTCTTTCTCTCTTCCTCCACCTTGTAAACGCTACTTTAGTCGACTCCATAGCTGACATAGTAATTTAACATTTGTGGTGTTGTTGTCAAGAGCCACTAAATGACTTAGGTGTTAGAGATACCACTGACTGCCATATTGTTATTTGAATGTACTCAAACTTTAGTAATCTACTGCCGTTTCTCATAAAGAAATAAAACTAAGGCGAAGTAAGTAAGGACAAAGTGATCCATTTTCATGAGGACTGATACCTGCCAATTTTTTATATTTACTTTCAATTTGGGCAGTTCGTTGATTCGTCTACAGGAGGAAATAATCAACACTAACCAAGTAGGTACTATTATTCGGTTGTTGCGAACCCTAATGGAGGGCGAGAGAGTAGCCAAGTGGAATGCAATGTTTGCTCCGAGGGGGAGGAGCGAGAAGAGGGATGGAGAGGGGAGAGGAGTCAGCAAAAAATCTTGATAACTTCCTTCATCGAAATGCCATTAGGCATGCACACAAAGATCGGTCCGTATTGTTTGCCCCCGATTTTCACGGCGCCAGTAGAGACTGTAAATACCATCAACTATCCAAGTCAAGTGTAGCGTGAGTCGTCTCAAACGCTTGAAAAAGGGCTTCTACGTAAATGAGGGAGATTAAGTTAACTCCTAAACGACCGGAACACCAGTGGGCTTCCGTTTTCTGAGGATATAATTATAACATCTATTCTCATCTCCCACCCTACTCCCCTCGACTTCCTCTTATCCCTCCCCTCTAGATGGCGAAGCAACCATTTGTATAGCGGAAAAACGATAGTAGGACCTGAGTTGCAGAAATCGAAGATGGCCCGAACAGGCAGTTGTCCTTGATAAGTAAGGTCGGTAGAAGTTTTATCTCACTTCATAAGAGATAGCCCTGGACAGTGACGCCACCGTTACTGCTGCTGCTGCTGCAGCAGCTCCTACTGTCTTGCATGCGGGTAAATTGCCAACTTCTAATTTTCTACCGATAACACGCCGTCGGAGAGAAATCTTAAGCGGCATCAAAGTGGAGAGAACGTTTTTCTGCAACGCTCCCTCCCCTCCTCTCGGAGATGCGATCTCGCGCGTCCCTTCCTGGTTTGACGACGCCAAAAGTTTACATTTGACGGCATATGTCACTCCAAAATCCCAACAAACATGAATGGATTTGGAGGATTTGTGGTTAGATGTAATTCTAGCGTGGCTTAGCCCCGGAGTGTCACTTGCACATTCAGCTCTGAGTTGAATTTGCTGATCACTTTATTCAACAGACTACTATCGGAACGGCAAGAATTTCTTGTGGCAGTGCTAGCAATCGAGGTGGCCGCTGGGTGACAGAGAGGACGACGCGAATGCAAACCCTCGCACTCATCCGCGTAGCCATTGCTGGGAACAATTCACCCAGCACAGGGAGAGATCCCGCAAAAAGCACCATGCAGCAGCAAATAGCCGCCTAAGTGCCTTCGAGCAGCACAAGGCGTTGATAGCATCTGACTCTCACATTTTCTGCAAATGATGCCCCTTACGTCGCCAACGTCCTCACCTTCCACCCTTCCTCATTCCTGCCCTCCTCTCCTCCCCTTTCTCCCACACACCTGTTGGGGGTGCGCGAGTGTGTGTGTGTGTGCACATATAGCTCTTCCTAAAACGCGTTTGTTTGCCCAGGGAATTAGGCGCGTTCTCCTAGTTGAAGAGAGAGGAGGAAGGGGTGGAGGGAGGGGAGGAGGAGGAGGAGGACGAGGAGGCAGCAAGGTCATAATCTTGATTGCTTTCTTTCCCCGAATCTGTGCAATTAGCCATACCCTACGGGGCATCACTGGCGCCAGAGCTTGCCTACTACCTGTGAGAAAGTAATTGCTGGCCGAATAATGTCCCAGCACACCAACTACGTGAGGCTGGGGAGGGGGCCAGTGGGCCATTTATGCTTATTGTATGCGCCCTCTGTGACAGTGGACCTCGGGAGATGGTGCATTCTTTCTCTCTTCCTCCACCTTGTAAACGCTACTTTAGTCGACTCCATAGCTGACATAGTAATTTAACATTTGTGGTGTTGTTGTCAAGAGCCACTAAATGACTTAGGTGTTAGAGATACCACTGACTGCCATATTGTTATTTGAATGTACTCAAACTTTAGTAATCTACTGCCGTTTCTCATAAAGAAATAAAACTAAGGCGAAGTAAGTAAGGACAAAGTGATCCATTTTCATGAGGACTGATACCTGCCAATTTTTTATATTTACTTTCAATTTGGGCAGTTCGTTGATTCGTCTACAGGAGGAAATAATCAACACTAACCAAGTAGGTACTATTATTCGGTTGTTGCGAACCCTAATGGAGGGCGAGAGAGTAGCCAAGTGGAATGCAATGTTTGCTCCGAGGGGGAGGAGCGAGAAGAGGGATGGAGAGGGGAGAGGAGTCAGCAAAAAATCTTGATAACTTCCTTCATCGAAATGCCATTAGGCATGCACACAAAGATCGGTCCGTATTGTTTGCCCCCGATTTTCACGGCGCCAGTAGAGACTGTAAATACCATCAACTATCCAAGTCAAGTGTAGCGTGAGTCGTCTCAAACGCTTGAAAAAGGGCTTCTACGTAAATGAGGGAGATTAAGTTAACTCCTAAACGACCGGAACACCAGTGGGCTTCCGTTTTCTGAGGATATAATTATAACATCTATTCTCATCTCCCACCCTACTCCCCTCGACTTCCTCTTATCCCTCCCCTCTAGATGGCGAAGCAACCATTTGTATAGCGGAAAAACGATAGTAGGACCTGAGTTGCAGAAATCGAAGATGGCCCGAACAGGCAGTTGTCCTTGATAAGTAAGGTCGGTAGAAGTTTTATCTCACTTCATAAGAGATAGCCCTGGACAGTGACGCCACCGTTACTGCTGCTGCTGCTGCAGCAGCTCCTACTGTCTTGCATGCGGGTAAATTGCCAACTTCTAATTTTCTACCGATAACACGCCGTCGGAGAGAAATCTTAAGCGGCATCAAAGTGGAGAGAACGTTTTTCTGCAACGCTCCCTCCCCTCCTCTCGGAGATGCGATCTCGCGCGTCCCTTCCTGGTT